TTTCCGAAACTGCAATCACTGCGACAAACGGAGACTTTCGGAAAAAGTACGCACGATTAATATTTTGTATACATAAGGAAAGCAAATTTATAATTGTAAACTGATAAAAAGTTTGGAAAACATGTTAAATTATTAGACGGAATATTGTATATTATATTAATTTATACTTGCAGTATCCAAAGATTTAATCATCTTCAAAAAATTATCTATTGTCCGAATTGTCTATTTAATCATAATCGATATTGAGTAGAAAAAGTCAAATGGATATTTATCGACGAATCAAATTTGATACAATCTCGTAATGATGAAATTCGATAATATTTCTGTAATTAAAGATAAACCGGCCGTATGAAGGAATCGTGCAACCCGAATAAATTATCATCAACAGTCCAATGTCCTTTCCGACATCTCTCTCTTTCTCGCTAATCCTCTTCCTTCCCATAATCCTCCGCATCCTAAACACGCGATCTCAATTTAGAATTGAACCCCAGATCCGAATAAGCGACGGTGAAAAAAAATCCCCCATGCTCCCTGCACAAATCACGCTCTCTCTCCCCCCCGCGCGTTCTCCGACAAAGGAGAGGGAAAAAAATCGAAAAGAACGAGGAGACAATCGGCGATATCCTTGCGACGGAAGCGGCTCGGCGCCCCGGGCGTCCAGAACATTGCAGTAACTCCAGATCCGGCAAATCACGCGAGATAAATTTCCCGGTGACGTCGCATCTTCCTAATTCCACATTTCTCCTGCCTTGTCCGAAGTTCGCCTGTAGCCAATATCCTACTGAGAAGGATAATACGCAACAAGAATAATAGGAGCAAAAGAAATGGCCACTACGGATAAAAGTAGAAAATCTGAAGTATTATACAATTTAGTTCTTATTTTTTACTTATATATCTTTAACTTATTATTTAATTATTCCGAATTTTATTTACTTCATATCTTTCCCGTCGTTCAAAAATAATTTCACATCTTTCTGTTTCTTCATCTCGAAAGAAATCTCTATTAGCCCTCTTCCGGCTCCGTCTATAGATTAGGGCACCGCCCGAGGGACGGAAATTCAGAAAAGCTGGACTCAGCTGAAGTGAATGTTTAGGTCAAAATGGGTGCCCTCGGCGAGCGACTCGCCGCGGCTTAATCGTTTTAGGAGTCGACCGGCAACGCGCGTCTGCGGATGATCCCACCGGGCGGTCGAATCGGCCAAGGAAAGTACGTGAAGCTTGCGAAATTTTCGTTTACACAGCCGCGCACGGTGTACCGGCGCTCCTCGCCCGTATATCAAAAGTTTAATTGAATTTTCGGCCGTGGCCCCGGCCCGTGAGAGATTAGGATCGTTCGCCGGCCCGTTCTCTCTCTCTCTCTCTCTCTCTCTCCCTCTCTTTCGTGCCCGCGCAGGTTTGCCAGTCTTCTTGCATCCAGCGGACGTATTGTACCCGCGTCCCGATCGTCTCGGCCCTTTTCCTTATCCGCCGTCTTTATCTGACCCGCGTGCATCTTTACGCGCGTGTTATTCTAGCTGCCGCTCGGTTTTGTTTCGAGTACATTCACGAGTTTATCCAAACGGAACCTCCTCTCTCGGAACGCTGCGCTTTCACATCGTTCTGCGAAAATTCACGCGTAGCGTTACATAAGCCGTACGCCAAATTTCCAGCTCTTACTTATTTTACAACCCAATTTTAGGCCCGTTTTATCTCGATAGCATTTCGCCGCTCTTCCCTTTCCGCGCGTGCGTTCTGTTCCCGAGGTTAAATATCTCAGCAACTTGAACTTAGCATGTAAGATTTAAAAATATCGTCCCAGTTTGCCCCGCTTCGAGACAATCTACACTTCTTCGCAATTTCGCGCAATTGCGTTCACCGCGCGACCTTCTTTTTGCCGGAGACTTTACACCGGAGATTTGCATAATTACGCGTTTTAATGTAACCTCCGGTCATGAGGGTCAGATCGAATTTATCTCGGTGGCCCTCACCTGTCCCATACGATGCGGGCCTCGTCGGGGCAACTGACCACCTGTACAGTCGTGGCAGCAAAAAAGGAGGACACCGGTCGATTCGGGGAACGACCTGCGCTGTAATAGTAGCCACTCGAGAAAAGAACTGGCGATCGATCAAATCCGAGATGCGCGCGTGATTATACGTGTTCGCGTGAGAAAAACATTAAGTGAGTGAACAAAAAGTGAGAAAAACATTAAGCGGGTTTGCGTGTCGAAAACTGCCGTTGATTACTCTGCTATGTCAACACTGACGAATGTAAATGCTTCAAGTGTTATCACTTTGATTATGCATACTGATAGAAACTCTTTGAGACCAGTTCTTATCTAGAGAGATAATGAAAGAAGATCTTGAAGCGCAATAAGCTGTTACGCTTTAAATGCTAATTGAGTTACAACAATTGAAGACGTCTGAATAACGTGATTGAGAAATTTTGAGAAGCACAACACACGCGTTAAGTGTAACAATTTATGTTAAAATATTACTCGCGAGAGGGATCCATTAACCAAATTAAGAAAACTTCTTTATTTCTACCTGTGCGTGTCGCTTTTTCCGGAAGGCCCCTCAATTATCCGCAATTTTTCTATCATAAACTTACACCCGAACGAAGGTATAATTGAGCGCGGAGCAGTTTTTAACGACCTTTTAACACCGAGGTATATCATTATACGCGCGCCTCGCTCGAATAAAGACGGGGCACATCCTCGCGGCGCTTAATTCAACAGCGGCCATCGGCCAGGTCGAAGCACCCGCGCGAGACAATAGAAAAGCCATAACTTTCTCCGCCGCGCTCGCACAACCTATATCCTGTCCCCGCAGCGTCGTCGCGGCGGACGCGCCCAAAAAGATCGCGCCCGCGCCTTCTCTCGTGATCGCGCAGGGGGACACGCGAGGGAACGACGACCTGCGCGGCCCGCGCACACACGGGCGTCTACGACGCGCGATGCCGCAGATAGGGTATTGCCAAATCGTCGCTGATGCCGTGAGCAAGGTCGAGAAATTCGGTACCGGGCACCGTTATACGCACGGCCTAATCAAAAAATTGAATCGTCCGTCGCCGACTCGCCCATTTTCGAACCCCGTTGCGATTCTTTCTCCTTTTCTGCTTCAATGACGATCGAAAAGGGGGCCCCTGTCCTCGTCTCTTCTTCTCTCTCTCTCTCCCTCTCTCTCTCTATCTCCCCGTCTTTTTACCTTTGTTGTTTTTTTTTTTTCGATCTTGGACTGTACGACCCGCATAGTGACGCGTTGTGACGCGCGAAGAGGTCGAATGGGTCCTCGCCGCCTGAATATGTGTCTGCGTCTCCGTGTCCCGCGCCCGGAGAGACCGTACAATGGGGACACATGTCAAAACAATTGGCACACAGGTGTATCGAATTTACCGAGGAGCCGATGGAGGACGTCCACGTCGAAAGAATCGTGGAGTTGCGTCACGGCGTCCCGGCCCGCTATCAATGAGTTTCCGTCGACCGTTCGGGGGACGACGAATCATCAGCGGGCCGGCGGCTATTAAGGACGCGTATTTGCATTCGACAAATGTTCCTTTTATCAAGAGTGTATTACCGCTCGTCTGTCTTTTTCACGCGAGTGCGCTCGTAACGCGAAAATAATCTTCGTTTCTTCGTACACGAGGCGCAAATCAGTACACAGCTGTACTGAAATTAACTGGAAAAATTTTATATTTGTTTAAAAGTTATCGCCGAATTGTTCAGACCTTATTTGCGTGTAACTACTTTTTTTTTTAAATACATAGCATGTATGACGAACTTATTTTTTACTTTGTATATATTTTACGCGAAATTGAGTGGAAATAAAACAACGCGTGTTCACAAATCAACTTGATCTAAACACTTCGAATATTATCAACGTTTATTGAATTCTTCGAGAAAATTTGCCTCACGCTTCGAGAAATTGAATGAAACGTGATTCGCGAGGCCGCTCGGCGTGCGTTCGCGGTCGATTCGCTCCGGTCGTTTGTAACAGCCAATCGTTTTGTGCATCATCGCCAACGAAAGTTACGATTATTGTTGCCTCTTGTACGCGTACGGTCGGCGAACAGAGGCGCGCAGCGACGGGCCTTCCTCTGCACGCGCTGAAAGATGCGGCGGGACGAAGATAGGGGACCGGCGCGAAACCTTTGGCTAGATAGAGAGGAATTGTTGGTCGAGGGAGTGAGAGGCGCAGCGAGGGAGAGTGACACGCCGAGAGGAACGTAGGAGTAAGCCAAGGCTCTGACACGCGCGCGCGCGCGCGCGCGTGCGACGATGAGCGGGACCAAGAGAAAGAAGAGAGTAAACGGAACGAGAAGGAATTTCTGAGTTCTTTCCCCGTCTTCGCGAACGAGGAGAGCAAGAGAGAGAGAGAGAGAGAGATACAAGGGCCCACGAACGGAGATATGTGTGTATAAGTGTCCGTGGCCGGGCGCAGAGCGGAGAGGTTGGGCGAGGAGGCGGCGGACGGCGGGAGGGCTGGTGGCTCACTCTCGAGCGGCGGTGGGGATGAGGGGGCGAGGGGACAAAAATGACAATCATCGTCATTTTAATAATATGCAGAGGCATAGTCGACTTCTACGCCGGGCAAGTGCGGCCACAATGGCGTTATATAATGACAAAGACACGCCGGGTCGGCTGGGTGCCTTTCGCTCGACAAAAGGCGCGGCGTTAGGGTCATCCTACCGGACATGTTTTGTCCGGCGCGGACAAATGTCACCGATAATGTTCTCCGGGGCCTGCGGCCGTAAAAGTCAAAATAACAGACGCACCGAAAATATGCGTCGTGAAGCCGAGCGCCAAACCCGCCGACGAATAGCGTATGCCGCGCGCTAGTCTCTCTAAATGTCTTCGGAACTTTAAGCTCGAGAGAGGATGACTCAATTACAGAAGGAACAATATTCGTTCTTCTATTTTTCACTTGGAAAATTTTCATCCAGCTTTAAGAGATATAACAGATATTTGTCCAGCAGTTCGATTCTTGTATTTTGTTTTAATTCGCAATGTGAATTATTGTTTCAGATACGTCTTCTGCGTGGAATATGGCGATTTGGCTGCTGGGTAAGTGCTTTAATTTTTTTTATTAATCCCTTGACAATGATATCAACAGAGTGTCAGCATAATAAATGAATAAGATCACGTTCGTGAATCTGATTATACAATATATAATATATTTCGCATAGTCGTCGACTCGCTCTTTTCTGTGCGACAGTAAGGTCGATATGAGACTCATACCGAAAATATCACGGTATGCACACGGCTGGTTTGGCATTTGTCTCGGCACGTCTATAGAAGTTTAGGTGAAAGTTTATCGAAATAAGTTAATCGTATGGAAGGTTTCAATTTTCTCATTTCCTTCGTGTACTTTTTCGGGAGAGATTTCTTATTCATACGTACGAAATGATTTAGATCCAATATTGCACCGTATGGCGAATAATCGGGTCATTCGAATGAAGAAATCTGATACGGCGATACCTAAAACTGAGAATCTTTGAATAACGAGATAAAAATATTCGAGTATTGTATTTAATTGCAGATAAAGTAAATTTTTTACGCTAATTTCTACTTTCGTCTTACATTAAATTTTTGTAGCATGATATTTGTTCTCAATCTAATCGCTCTATTATTTTTCCAATCCGATCAAAATAAAATTCAAGAGAAGGTGATGAAACACCTCTGTAAAAATACGTATTTTTATTTGTACAAGAAAATTTTCCTAATCATGGTTCTTGGTGAAGACTTTTTCGACATATTTGTTGTAGTGCCATGCTGCACAAAAGCATATGTAAATTTGAGAAATTACATGGATTCAAAACAACGTTACGAAACAGTCGGAACGCGTGTCATACTCGTACGCGCGTTCAAGCACAAGCTCGTCTATGCTAATAACATTTTTTCCGCGAATGTGATTGACGCGATGAATCGGAAGATCTCGCGTATAATGCAAATAGGACTGGTGCTGTCTTGCTCGATCCACGACACGTTCAACGAATCCGTCTTAGCGGGACCGTGCCCGTTACGAAAATCCCCTTGTCATCATGAAAAAGACACGAGCACACCGTTCGCTTTCCGTTTCCATCCGGCTTTCGTTGAATTCCACATGAGTCAGCCCTATAATTTTGTATTTTTTATTTCCATATATTGTTCGGGTGTTTTAAATTTTATTTATATGCAAAAAATAGTATTTTGATGATTAAATGTTGTATCTTTTTTCATTTCTCTACAGCAATGTGTCAAGCATGTAAATTAATTTTTTATATCAACTGGTTTGCAATATATATGTATATATTTTTAAAATTATTTTCGACGTATTAACGCTATTTGTCTTTGTGCTAATTTGTTAACTTACATATTTATTTATTGAATATCAATCTTTGCGTCTCGAGAGTTCTCTGAGCGCGATGAACTTCCCTCTTTCTTCTTGTTGTCCATCGGTTTCACTGCGAGCAGATGCAACGGGCGAACTTTAACGTACCAGTGGCCATACCCACGTACATGCCATAGATTCACACCCACCAATCGGAATACGCAAACGGTCATAAGGTGCCAGAAACGCTAAGCGCGCGCCACGCTATACGCGTGGTTTATGTCGCATTTACGAGACCGAAGTGATCTTCAACATCGGTTTAAATGTTCCTCTTCTGGAGAACATTTCCATTCGCCGCAATAACTAATTGCACACGTCACCTTATGCATTGTACGGAATACATGCCTTAGGAGTCGATCTTTCTTTAAAAGAGAATTTAGGATTAATTATTTTTATTTAAAAAAACTGCAATACTTAATTTAATCGATATTTTTGTTGAACACAATATCAAATAATGTCTGCACAAAATTCATCAGAAGAAATAAAATGTTGGGAATTTTTAACTTAAAAGCTGTGACGCTCTGAAATTGAAACAATATGTTTCTTGCTTCATGTTCATTACGCACGATCAAACCAGCTGACCTATTTATTGTTACGTCAGCAGTTATGTTATCGCCACCTCTTTATTTCTGCACGCCTCGCATCTGCTCGAGAATTCTCATATTTTTCCATGTAACCATAGTTTCTCCTTCATTGGACACCGCGAATCGATGTATCACGCGATGTTGGACTTGCCCAGGTACATGCCACCGATTCACACCCACCAATCGGAATGCATGGGCAGGCAAAAGGTGCCAGAAACGCTACGTCTGCACCGTCCTCGTCGCAAATCGCGACGGGAAAATTGCGCTAATATCGCCAAACTCACAACTACATTCAAACTACTGTAAAGCGAATTCAGAATTTTCGATATTTTCGAATATTCCGAGTTTTCCAACTAGTTTTACAATAAGAATCCATGATTAGAATAATTAAAATGCAAGTAAAATAAATTTCAACGACTAAGATTTCAGTAATAAAAATATTCACAATAATTCAGTTTCAGATTAAGCAGATAATCGATTGATTCGAATGTAATATATAATGTGCGCTTGAAATTTTCAAGAGTACATGATTCTTCATATTTGAGTGGTGATTGCATTTCAAATTTGATTACTGTTCGAATGATAGCTTTATATAAATATTTACATGTCTAATTATGACGAAATTTTTGCAACATTAACGTTTAATGTTATCGAATTATCAATTCTCGCGTAATATAATTAGCATTATTATTAGCTCGTAAGTCGATTAGCATCCTCGATACGGCGTTCTATTCTGCACACGATGATCTTTCGCACAATCGATATTGTACCCGAGTACCTATATAAATACCGGCGTACGAGGAATCATATGACTCCCTGCCGACTTCTTTCTTTGTCTACTTTTTCTCTTTCATTCTCTTGGTCTCTTCCTGCGAATCTATATTCAAATTGCGGGAGAAGGCTAATCGTAAGCCTGTTCTTAACGGTACACGGACGAACGGCCTCGTAATCCCTTGAAATCATACCGCAGGATAAAAATTTGTCGGTGCCGCCTCTGTTACGAATACTCGAAGTACGACGATTCGCGCAGAAAGCCGTTGCAATATTTTGTCGCTCGTAAATGTCTCGCAGTAGAATAAAAAAAAAAATAGGTTTGTGTGGCACAGCTTCATTGTGAACTGCCTGTGATATCGCACAGTAGCTTTTTAGCGTGCACGTGATTGTTAATACATATTAATATGTATTATTATTTGTATCGTTGATTTAATTTAAATCTGTTCTTTTCTACGTTTTTCTCGCTCTTCGATTTCCCTGTGCGAGTACGTACTCATTTCGTTCTAAATATTCGAAGTATAGAAAGGTGCAAATAAGAAGAATGCATCTAATTTCACTTGTTACGTCGAGAACGCGACGCCGCGGCACCGCGATTTCTCACCCAGCCAACATCTTCCTCAACGTTCCACAACGGGCTTAATGAAAACCCCGCGCGCATACCTCGAAGACCCAGCGCTTGGGTTTTCCGGTTTCGACGATGAGACGGCATCCTCCGTGGTTTTTCCCTCTCCTCGCCGTGCATAAATTTGCATGTTTCGGGAAACCGGCGAGAGACGGCGGAGGGCGCGCGGAAAGAAGGCCGCACGACAGGGCGGAAAAAATTGTCGAGGCAGTCAGGTGTGTTTTCGTGATGAGGAGAGCCCGAGAAATATCGGTCACCCGGGGACGCGGGCGCTCCGACGGCGAACGAGACGACGTCAACGGCTCTCCCGCTCTCGCGGCTCCTCGCCGCGCGCGCGGAGCCGCTTAAAAATTTCGGACAATACTTTCCCGGGTGTCGGGGCGCATTTAAATGTATGTATTCATACGCTCGTGTATCGCTTTGACGAGAGGTGTGGTCAAAATTATTCAAACTGACCCGGACTCTTTTTTCTCCTCTCGGTCTGGGACACTTTCTAGCACCGCTGCACCCACGTACCATCCTCGCCCCCCCTCCCCCGCCCCCCTCCTCATTTTTGCCCCGTCCGTCTCCTTCTCTCTCGTTTTCTTTCATTCTTCTTTTCATCCTTCTCTATCCCGACGTCTTCCTTTCGTCTTCGTCGTCGTCGTCGTCGTCTCGCGCTTCCTCCTCGCGTCTCCCCCGCGCTCTCTAGCCATTGTCCCGATGCCGAATTCGAGATCGCGCTGGCTCTCGATCTCGTGCCGATGACCTCGTTACCTTTATATATTAGCTTGACGGGCAGAGCGATTCGCGGGTCGCGCGCGTCACCGGGTGATTACCGGGTACGATCGCGAGATCGGGACGACAAAGAGATTGAAGATGCGTGTCAATCGTTATGTAAGTATAGCCGATGCGGATGCTGTCGCGATGTAAAATTCAACCGACGTTTTAAGTCATTAAGATATTCTTTTGTCCCGCGTTGGGATTAGTCGGTCGGTTTGCAACGTACCTTTGCAATATTCATGAATATCCACAGGTTTTATCGTTTAATCCAAATCTCGCTCGGCGAGGACACTCAATGCGAAAGAGATACAAAATTCCAAATACGTGAAAAAAGAAAAAAAAGACCTTGTTGCGGACAATTTGCGGTTATCAGTCGACCCAATTTTTTTGCTAATCAGCCGATGCGATCGGACGGGCGCAATCGCGCCGAGTGAATAATTTCGGAAAAAAAGAATCGCGTGAAAGTGCTATCCCCGCAAGGGGCGGATAGTGAAGCGAGAGGGGAGAGAAGCTAACGCGACGCGATGCGTGCGTGCGATTATGATGGCACTGCCGGTCGGTTTCGTGGCGACGGCCACCCACCGAAATTTCCGCCACATATCATGAATGAATAGAGAGAAAGAGAGAGAGAGAGAGAGAGCTCAAGCTGGGCTCTCTATGCCACGGCATGTTCTCGGCCCGGGCCGACTATGACATATGGGTAGCGCAAAAACCGCCAATGCTGATCGATCGGCCACGCTAACCAACCCCCCACCGATTCCCTCTTTTTCTCTCACGTTCCGGCTTTATGTGCTGGTTGTTACCTTCTTTCGGAGCCGCTACCGGAATACCGCCGACCAAAGCAAACAGACGAGATGAAACCACTCGTGGCTGCGGCGATACTTCGCTCCTTTTTTTTCTTCCCCTTCGCTATTTCAATTGACCAGGACAGTCGTGGTGAAACACAAAAGAT